GGATACCAAGGTGGTATTACATGCTCTTTCTCAACATCAGTTTGAGCCCTTAGCCTCATGTACCATGTCTCACCTTTCCTTTAAGGTTTATTTTTGTTGCTGTTGACCTGTGGATGTCTATGGTCAAAGTTGTTTATGCTGCATGTGCACAGGACACTTTGTCATTCTACCTACGTTCTCCTATACCCAGACTGGTTCTTCTTACCTAAGACACTAGCAGCCAATTCATCTGTCTGCTATTTCTCACCTCTACGACTGATCAGAACTCATTCGTTTGTTATGTCCAGTGAGGGCCTTGAAGTGTTATGTTGTCCACAATAATGCCTTTAGATGTGCTAAACAATGACTTTTTATTCATTTGGATCCTTAAGTTTCCCAGGTTTTATCCCCAGTTACTTTGTCAAGGTGGCTATGAAAATGGATCCTTTCATTTATTCTGGGCACTCTTTGGAGGTGAGGAGCCTTCTGCGAGTCACATCTCATCAGATTTTTCACAGTTCTATATCCTTAGCAGCCCGGTTGAATTGGCTGCTGGAGGACATTGTGCTGACCAGTATGTGGACCTCCCTTAATACATTTATCTCACATTATTTGCATGATCTGATCATATCTTCCTTTCAGAGCTTGTGACGACCCCTTCTAGATGTTTTAACCACATCTGCTATATTATAAGGAGGTGTGAATATCTTCATTACTAATATTGTTTCTTCTTTACTTTCCAGGGTCCCTTACCTCTTTCTCACAGGATACCACTCTGTGGCAAGTGTTGCCTAAGCAGGTGTGCTTATATCAAACCAATTTTGCACAAGCAACCACCAATTCAATATACACTTTATCTAGGTTGCAATAGGCTCTGTAGAAATGAGGTATTTCATAGGACCACCTAGATACAGACTGGATGGTATTACTGTGCTATGCTTGACCACCACTCATGGACTATTATGAGTAAAGCATAAGGGGATCCTGCCTGTTCCTTGCTGATCATAGGATTGAATAAATTTGGGTCAGTTTGATTTTAAAAAGTTAGGGAATTTGGTTCACCTATTGCACTGTTTCCAGAGCACTGTTTCTCAGGGCTCCCCAACATGAATTACTCTCCCCCTCCCATATTCTACTTGTGGAACTAAGGAGTTCTTACCACACCCAATTACCAGTCACTGTGGTGGTGGACAGAGGTTATTCCTTCAGAGTGTTCAAGTGAATTTCTTCCACTCTTGGAGAAGAAGGCAAAGTTGGGGCCCTCCTTCCTGCATACCTGGATGTTCTTTCTTTCTTTTTTCCCATATGTTGGTTGGAGAGGCACCAGCCTATGTGGAATCTTATTTGTAATAACGGTTCAGATTTGACACTCGGTTATCTGGTTGGATTGGGTGTTGCCCTTCTTTTTTTGAACAATATTAGTTCAGTACATTGTTCATGGAAGGTGGTCTATTGTCTCCTCATAATTCCAAACACAGTATTCATAATTTCAGACCGGATGAGCTCTGTTTCCTCAGGTTGAGTGTGGCATACAGGATCCCATCATTCTGAGTTGGGGTGTTACCTTTTGGACTTTTTCAGGTTGAGGAGATAGTTTATCCACTTCAATACTGCTTACCCTCTTGTCGTAATTCCGGTGGCTAGAAACACATCACTCTATAGCTACAGGTTGGGATCCACTCACAAGTGTGTATATATATATTGCAGTCCAGATGCCTTAGCCACCAAAATGAGAGCAGTGAAACCTTGGCTACATGGTTGGGGCATGGCCAATAGTGATGACGGATGATGTCAAATTCCACCTACAGTGCATGAATTAGGTTGAAGAGCATACCTGTTCTGAATGTAGTGCAGTTCCCCCACTAGGGTGTTAATCTTCTATTGGCATGCCCATGATCTATACAGATGCATTCTGTATGGATAATGCCGTCACTGGTCCTTCTTCCCCACAAAGAGCCAGAGTTAGAGAGTACGAATTGGATCAGTCTTGAAAAAGTTGTAATATTATCTTAATGAGGTGCTTATATTGAAATAGGTGGAGAGTGTTAAGAGACAGATATTTCCAAGGGCAATTAAATAAAAGACTGGAGCAAGTGAGAAAAAATCAGACCAATGCTTAGATGGGCAAAGGAAGGAAACCCCTAGCAATCAAGTAATAACTGTAGTATGAGGAGACGTAAGTAATGGAAATACATTTTAAATTTCAGAAAATGTTAACCTGAGTAAGCAGTGGTACTTTAACCAAGTGCTGGAGAGTTATCATTCAGTTCAGAGAAGTCCAAAAAGTGAAGGATAACCTCAGTTACACACTGGATTAAGACTGTCATTCAGCCCATCTTGCTCATTTGGTTGTTGATTCAAGAATCTGCTTTAGCTTTTTTTGAAAGATCCCAGAGGCTCAGCTCCAACAACATGGTTAGGCAGTTTGGTCTGAACAACCATTGTTTTTTTTTAAAAAGAATGCCATCTGTTATTAGTCCTAAATGTATATACACATTATTTCCAAATGGCCTATTTAAGGACTTCTTAGTTTTGGTGTTATGGCTCTTGCATATAATGTGATTTTTGTTTTGCACTTTTCTTGTACAGCTAAAAGCTTTTTGCAGTTGTTGTGCATAGTGTGTGTTTTTTCTGTAGGTTGTATATACATATTTGTTTTGTATTTGTAGTACAACTGTTAAATCATAAAATTTTGGAAATTTTCATCTTGTTTCATTTGGTAGCATACATTTTCAATCTTGACTACTTTTGTGTATCCCACATTCAGGGCTATAATTTAGTGTGTTGTATAAAAAAAATGAATAATAATAAAAAAAGGATGAAAATTTTTCAAATGACTTATCACTAAATACAGTTACTAATGAACATAACCCTTTAACACCTTATTAGAAATGCCATAATTCTAAATCTTAGCTTTCACGCAGAAGTTCTTATTAATAATTTTGTATCGTAATATTGCATTGTTGAAATACTAATAAGGTAGTAGGTGAAAATGACTTCTTATAAGTTTATTTGAGTTATAATTGCAGTAAATCAAGCTTTAGGTACACAATGGAGCCAATTTGAATTAAATGTGCTTATTTTCAACTATGAATGCTACACCCTTAAGACAATATAGCTTATTATTGTGACAACAGATAATGGTATAGACAGATACATACTACACTGCATGATTACATGTATAATAAAAATTCTTCTTAGTTGCATACTATGCAAGGATCTCATCTGGAATATCTTAGATTCTAGAAGCACTTCCTACATATATACACCTGGAAAAAAGTTAAGCACCCCCGTGTTTTTTTCAAGTGATTCAGATTCGACGTTCTTGTGACTGATTATAAATTACCATTCAATCTAAACGTGTTTATCAAATGAAATTAC